CCTGGCTCTGCCTCCCGAGTGCTGGGATTAAAGGCGTGCGCCACCAACGCCCGGCTTATGTGTTGCATTTTTTAAAGATTTCTTTCTTTATTATGTAAACACACGCCAGAAGAGGGCACCAGATCTCATTATAGATGGCTGTGTGCCACCATGTGGTTGTTGGGAATTGAAGTCAGGACCTCTGGAAGAGCAACCAGTCTTCTTAACCTCTGAGCCATCTCTCCAGCCAATGTGTTGCATTCTCTTATTTTGTATTTGTTTAACTCTGTGAAGCTATATTACTTTGCCTGTCTAAAACACCTGATTGGTCTAATAAAGAGTTGAACAGCCAATAGCTAGGCAGGAGAAAGGATAGGCAGGGCTGGCAGGCAGAGAGAATAAATAGGATAAATCTGGGAGGAGAAGATGGAGGCTGAGAAAAGAAGGAGCCAGACACCCAGGCACACAGGCAAACACAGAGTAAAAAGGAAAGAAAAGATGAACAGAAATAGAGAAAGGGAAAGCCCAGAAGCAAAAGGTAGATGGGATAATTTAAGAAAAGCTGGCTAGAAAGAAGCCAGGCTAAAACCGGGCATTTATAAGGAAGAATAAGCCTCTGCATACTTATTTGGGAGCTGGGTGGCGGGCCCCCAAAGAGTAAGAGGCAAAAGAATAAAAAACAAAACAAACAAGCAAAAAACCCAACTACAAAGAGGCCTCTTGGGCCAGAGAGCCGGCCTGTGAGGGAGTGACAGGGAGGAGGTGAGGCCTGGAGAAGGAGCTTTGAGGACCCCAGACTCCATTGAGGTCCTTCCTCTCTCCGAATACCATCATGGGCTGAGTGCGGTGAGGATGTGCCTTGGCTGGAGAAGGGCTTGCATGAAGCCCTGGCTTCAGTCCCCAGCACTGCATGAACCAGGCTTGATGCTGTAACGTCCGCAGTCCCAGTCCTTGTGGAGTAGAGCTCAAGGTTACCCTCTGTTCCATACCAACTTCATGGCCAGCCTGGGTACGTGAACCCCTGTCTCAAACACCAAAACAAAAAGACCACCTCGGCCACCTAAGAACTGTTGGTCTCTCGTTCTCTCCTCCCTAAGCAAGGCAGGTCTGCAACCAGGGCATATGGGAAGCAAGGCTAGCCTGGTGGTGTCAGGTACAGCTCGGGGTGGAAGTGCTGCCCAGCACAATACCAATGCCCCTGCTGTGAGAGTTGGCTTCCATCCCTCAACCTGCCCTGTCTGGAGGAAACGACTCATCTGGTGGGCAAAAGGCCAGCATCCGCCAGACCCAGACTGGCTCTGGGTCCCGACAGAACCCACTGTTTGTGCTGGAAGGCGTTCCAGTCTCAGCCTGCAGCCTGGCTGGGAACCCACTGGCGACATCTGGGAGAGAACAGGACTCAGCTGTCCTTTCCTTTTTATGGGCACAGGGACCATTGTCCAAACAAAAATTGGGACATGTGGGCTGGGAGAGTTTTCTTGTCTTACCAAATTATTTTTCTGGACATTTTTGTATCTGGCAAGAGTATTACAAATGTGATTACCCAGGCGTGGGGGTGTGGCTCAGTGGGGTATTGCTTGCCTCTGATGTATGAGCCCCCCTCAAAAAAAAAATAAAGAGGGCTGGGGATGTGACTAAGTTGATAGACTATTTGCCTATCACACGGCAGGCCCTGGGTTCGATTCCCAGCACTGTATAAACTGGGCATAGGTTTGCACGTCTGTCGTCATCTCAGCATTTGGGAGATGGAGACAGGATCAGAAGTTCAAGGTCCTTCTCTGGATACATAGTGAGTTCAATAAGTCCAAGGCCAGACTGGGATGCATGAGATGAGACTCTGTCTCAAAACAGAAAAAGAAAGGAAATACAGAGAGAGAGAGAGAGAGAGAGAGAGAGAGAGAGAGAGAACCAACCATCTTATTGTGTGGCTCAGTGGTAGAGAGTGCAGTACTAGGCCCTGGATCCTACCCGAGACCCACAATTGCAATAATAAATAAACACACAAACAAATACACCAAAAGAAATGCAAGCCCAGGTCCACAGTGTCTGCCTGGAGCCCAGGTGACTCTGGTGGCAGCTAGAACTGAAGTAAGCCGCCTCCCCTCCTGGCTTTTCTTTCTTTTTGGTTTTGGTTTTGTGCTGGCTAGTTTTATGTCAACTTGACACAGTGTAACTCATCTGAGAGGAGGGAGCCTCAATTGAGAATATCCTACCATAAGATCAGGCTGCACACAAGCCGGTAGAGCATTTTTTAAATTAGTGATTGATGTGGGAGGGCCCAGCCCATTGTGGATGGAGCCATCCCTGGACGGGTGGTCCTGGGTTCTATAAGAAAGCAGGCTGAGCAAACCATGGGAAGCAAGCTAGTAAGCAATTTTCCTCCAAGGCCTTAGCTCCAGATTCCTGCTCTTTTTGAGTTCCTGTCCTGGCTTCCATCAGTGATGGACTGTGGATGTGGAAGTGTAAGCCAAATAAACCCTTTCCTCCCCATCTTGCTTTTGGTCATGGTGTTTCATCGGGTTTCTCTGTTTAGCCATGGCTGTACTGGAACTCTGTAGAGTATATCTGTATATCTGTCAGC